AGGGAGACAGCTCAGGGGGCAGGAGTGCATGGAGGGATGGACACAGGGAAGAGGTAACTATGGGGAGGAAGTGGGAGGGAGCTGTTGCATTGTGGTAAATTTTAGTCAATGTCATGAAACAAACTGTATGTGCTATATGGAAAGTGAATTTGCTCTCTAACATCTTGCCCAAATCACAATAAATAAATAAATATGCCATATGTAATGATATTTATTATAAAGTTATAGTAATTATAACAGTGTAGTATAGGATTTCTTTGAGTTGACATCATCTCAATGGCAATGAGTTTGGTGGTTTTGGTTAGTATAGGGTCACTCTGAGTCAAAATCAATTCAGTTACACACAAGAACATAGGGAGTTAGTCCCTGACTAATGTCTGGGTTCCATTCTGATAAGACCACTGTAAGTCGGTTCTGGCTTAAGTTGAATACTTTGTTTTTAGAGTTTTGTTTTTGTTTTTCCAGTTTTTGTTTCAAAACACACCAGTGTTTTGAAAAGCAGAAAATCGAACATCTGGGGTGATATATCTGAGAATGAAAAAAAAAAACAAAAAACTGTCGTGGAGTCGGACCTGACTCATAGTGACCCCTCCTTGGGTTTCTGAGGCGGTATCCCTACAGAAGTAGATTGCCTAACCTTCCTTCAGAGGAGTGGCTGGTGGGTTTGAACCGCCGGCCTTGTGGTTAGCAGTCAAATGCCTTAGGCACTACGCCACCAGAGCTCCCTCTGAGAATGATAACATCAGCATATTACACACTGCAACACTGTATGTAGTACTTATTATTAATGATAAGATGGACTGGAAAAAAAAAAAGAAAAGAAAAAGGACAATTGTGTGGTTCATCATTACTCAAATATGTCTTAAGTCATTGATGACTATCTATACAGCAGAAAGGAGATCTGGTGGCACAGTGCTTAAGAGCTCTGCTGCTAACTAAAAGGTTGACAGTTGGAACCTATCAACTGCTCCATGGCAAAATGATGTAGCAGTCTGCTTTTATAAAATTACAACCTTGGAAAACCAATGGGGCAGTTCTGCTCTGTCTTAAAGTGTCACTATAACTTGGAATAAATTTAATAGCAATGGATTTGGTATTGGTTTAGTACAGCAGGAGGGTAAATAATAAACTAGTGTAATAGAAAGAATACTCACTCACTGCCATCAAGTTGGATCCGACTCACAGTGACCCCTCCTTGGGTTTCCAAGGCAGTATCACTATGGAAGTAGATTGCCCAATCTTCCTTCCAAGGAGGGCTGCTGGGTTTGGACCACCAGCCTTCTGGTTAGCAGTCAAATGCCTTAGGCACTACAACACCAAAGCACCTAATAGAACGAATATAATACAAAAACCAAACTCACTGCCAACAAGTCAGATCCGACTCATAGTAATCCCTCCTTGGGTTTTCAAGGCAGTATCACTATGGAAGGAGATTGCTCAGCCTTCCTTCCAAGGAGTGGCTGGTGGGTCTGAACCATCAGCCTTCTGGTTAGCAGTCAGATGCCTTAGGCACTATGCCACCAGAGCTCCCAGAAAGAATATAGAGTCTAAAAATAGACCCACATGTATATGGACACTGGTAATTAATAGAGATGTCATCAGTGGGGAAAGAATAGATTATTCATTAAATAGTGCTCACATTCACAGTTGGCTCTCCAGATAAAGTAGACAATTAGAACCTTACCCCACATCAAATACAAAAATAAAATTTTTATATTTCATACTTAAGTTAAAGGTCCAAATATGAACTGCAAAGCTTTAATTTCTAAAAGAAAATTCAGAAAATACCTTTATAACAAAGGGGAGGGAAAGATTTTTCACAAATAAAAAGTACAAATTATAAAGGAAATGCTTTATGTATTTGACTGTGTGGAAATTAAAAAAAAAAAAAAAAATCTGCACCACTAAAAAACAACCAACAAAGTAAAATTACCAAGCCAAGACTGAAAGAAAATACATGCAATGCAGGAGTAATTGATAAAAGGTTGGTATAAAAAATAGCTCTAAATCAATAAAGAAAAGAACCCAATAGAAAAATAGGCAAAGTGTATAACAGACAGATCACAGAAAAGGAAACCTGCAAGACTATTAAGCGAATAAAAAGATACATATGAAAAAGACTACCATGAAATACCATTTCATATTTTTAAAAAAGAAAAAGAAATAAAGAATTGAACAATCAAGAAACTGAATAAATTATTAAAATATCATTTTATATGCATCAGAGTGACATGTTGGAGAGTGATTTTGCAATATCTAGTTAAGTTGAGAAGATCTATTTTCTGTAATCCTGCAGTTCTAGTTATATTTGGTCCCTAGACAAAATTTTTTACATTAATGTACAAGGAAACAGGTTTAACAATGTTCATTGCAATTTTTTTTTTAATAGTGAAATAGAAACAGCCTAAATATTTAACATAAAAGGAAGTACAGTTGATAAGATGATGGAATAGGTAGAAAGACTACACAGAGCCTCTTCAACAAAGAAAAGGGGAACCAGTTAACACAGATACAGAAGATAATCCTGGAGCCCTGAGCTTTGAATGGAAGGATATAGAAGTGAACTAAACTCCAACTAGCAGAAGAATTTGCAGGAAAACACTAAAAAAGGAGACATACGAAGCTGTGGTCTGTCAGCAATCCTGACAGCACAGACAGCTTGGATATTGCCAAGTGGTGTTAAGACCTAAGAATTAACCTAAAAATTGGCCCTGCTAGCCAGGGGCTGCATTAGAGGACTGCACTGGCTGGTGAATAAAAGGGGAAGCAGCGAAGAGGAAGGCAGGCTGAGCTGTGGACTTTGGCCTGTCTGGAGGGTACAGCTATTTTGAATGTTTACAAGCAGTTCAACAATTTTGGATATTTAAAGTGACAGCGTACTCCTA